TCCCTTTTATTTTTTAAATGGGTAGTAGTAGTTCGGGTATGCTGAGGTATGCTCCACCACACCTGGCTTCTTAGAACTGCTCTTTCATTGACTATATGGACATCATGCTCATTTATTTTTTTTAAATTAGTATTTATTTATGCAACCAATCTAATCACATTAGACTGTTCCCAACTTTTAATATAAACAAGCAGTACTTTGATGAACACCGTTGCACACAAACCTTTTTTTTCTTTTGCCAGTCCTGGGGCTTGAACTCAAGGCCTAGGCACTGTCCTTGAGCTTCTTTGGTTCAAGGCTAGCACTCTTCCATTTGAGCCACAGTGCCACTTCTGGTTTTATCTGTGTCTGTGGTACTGAGGAATTGAACCTAGGGCTTCATGCATGCTAGGCAAGCACTCTACCACTGAGCCACATTCCCAGCCCCACAAACCTTTTTTAGAAGTCCATTTTCTGGACTGGGAAGGTGGCTCAGTGGTAGAGTGCTTGTCTTGCATGCATGAGGCCCTGGGTTAGATTTCTCAGCACCACATAAGCAGAAAAAGCTGGAAGTGGCACTGTGGCTCAAGTGGTAGAGTGCTGACCTTGACCTGAAGAGCTGAGACAGCACCCAGGCCTAGAGTTCAAGCCCCACTACCTACAAAAAAAAAAAAGTCAACTTTCCCCTTAAAATAACTTTGTAAAAGCAATGTATCTTCATCATCAGGTGGTAAAATTGGACTTCTAGTCATTTTCAGTTCTTGATCAATGGCAAAGTCCTGGTTTAGGATTGCTTTCAGTCTACATAAAAATCTGCTTCCTATTTCTGTATGTCCCTGTGCTCCACAGGATAACACTATCTATTAGATACCTGGCCTTCATTTAATTCATTCAACCTTACAGAATTGGTCTCATCTATTTGGTTTCTTTTTTTTTTTTTTTTGCCAGTCTTGGTGCTTGAACTCAGGGCCTGGGCACTGTCCTTCGGCCTCTATGTGCTCAAGGCTAGCACTCTACCACTCAAGCCACAGGGCCACTTCCGGCTTTTTCTGTGTATGTGATACTGAGGAATGGAACCCAAAGCTTCATGCATGCCAGGCAAGAATTCTACCACTGAGCCACATTCCCAATCCCATTGATTTTGTTTGTTTCTTTCTTTCTTGGGGCTGGGAAGGTGGCTCAGTGGTAGAGTACTTGCCTTGCATTGCATGAAGCCCTGGGTTTGATTCCTCAACACCACATACACAGAAAAAGCCAGAAGTAGCACTGTGACTTAAGTGGTAGAGAGCTGGCCTTGAGCTGAAGAGCTGAGGGACAGTGCCCAGGCCCAGAGTTCAGGCCCCATGACCTGCAACAAACAAACAAACAAACAAACCCTGCATTCTCACTGTGAAACCCTTTCTTCCACAGGCATCATCTTTTTTCCTAAAAACAAACTTTGCTTAGTTTCTTATGTACAGCTTAGGATAATAAAATTAGTGTAGAGCTAACATTTAGTTATTGCTGTGTGTAAGACATTGTGTTGCATCAATAATGGGATTTAAAATAAAACACTGATGAGGATGGGGGGATGTAAAAGGAACCCTTATATACTGTTGGTGGGAATGTAAATTAGTGCAACCAATATGGAAATTCCTCAAGAAATAAAATCAGAAGTAGCACACTGAGCATATACTCAAAGGCATAAAGTCAGCATTCAACAGACACATCCATGTTACTGCAGCACCATTCACAACTGCTAAGTTATGGAACTAGCCTGAGTGCCCATCAACTAAGGAACAGAAAAGAAAACATGGTATAGCAGGGTTGGTGGTTTATGCCTGCAATCCTAGCTACCCAGGAGGCTGAGATCTAGAGGGTAGTGGTTTGAAGAAAGCCGAGGCAGAAAAGTGAGACTCCACCTCAAACAAAACAAAATAGGCTGGGTGCTTGTGGCTCATGCCTGTAATCCCAGCTACTCAGGAAGCTATCTGAGGATCTTGGTTCAAAGCTAGCTTGGGCAGGAAAGGCTATGAGGCTCTTATCTCCAATTAACCAGCAGAAGACCAGAAGTGGCGATGTGGCTCAAAGTGGTAGAACATTCACCTTGAGCAAAAGAGATCAAAGACAGTGCCCAGGCCCTGAATTCAAGCCCCACGACCAGCATTCTTTGGGAGTGTTAGGGGCACAGAAATTGAGAGCTAACAGGTGAACAAAGGCAGCAGCAGCAGTCACTGGACACTGTGTTGAAAATGAACTACACAACTTATGGATGGAATGAGAGGGAAAAACTAGAGAGAGTGAGGGAAAGGGTGAGACTGTTTCTCCCTTCTCCCCTCCCCCCAAATGAACTCTCTATCTGGCTTATTTAACTCTAATCCCTCTGTATATCACCTTTATAATAACTAAAAAAATATAAACATTGCATGTTTGTTCTCATATGCAGAATCTAGTCCTAGAAACAAACACAAAGCCATGACCTGTAAGGGGAAATACTTGAGAGATCAATGGGAGGAGGATAGTGGGGTAAAATATATTAGAAGTACATTGTATACATGTAGAAAGTCATAGTGAAAGAAAAGCCTGAACAATGGCACGTTTAAGGCCATTAGTCCACATTTAGGTAGGCAGGCACTTTTTTTTTTGGCCATTCCTGGGGCTGTCCCTGAGCTTCTTTTGCTCAAGGTTAGCATTCTACCACGGAACAACATTCCCAGCCCTTTGTTTTCTTTTTCTTTTTCTATTTGTTTATACTGGGGATTGAACCCAGGTTATTGCACTTGCTAGGCAGGTGCTTTGCCACTGAGCCCAAGGCAAACTTTTAACTTTAGTCAAAGAACTCACTGATTGTGTGTGTGTGTGTGTGTGTGTGTGTGTAAGGGGGGGGGGGAATACAAAAACATCTTCCGGGGCAATAACTGGCTTGTATACAATGTACTTCTAATATATTTCACCTCACATGCAAATCACCCTTAAAAGTGTGCTCAAAGTACTTGGCATCCAGGCTGGGAATGTGGCTCAGTGGTAGAGTGTTTGCCTAGCATGCATGAAGCCCTGGGTTTCATTCCTCAGTACCACATAAACAGAAAAAGCTGGATGTGGCACTGTGGCTCAAGTGGTAGAGTGCTAGCCTTGAGCAAAAGCAGCTCAGAGACAGTGCCCAGGCCCGGAGTTCAAGCCCCAGAACTGACCAAAAAAAAAAAAGTACTTAGCATGCCACCCTCCTCCTTTCATGCCTTCCTGGAATTCTAACTCTACTCCATCTTCACAAGAAGACAATGGAAATACCCTTAAAGGAAAATAAGTAAAAGCACTCTTCTGATTGTGTGGTGTACATCCCTTTCTACAGATATACAAATGGCATTCTGTTCTGTTTCTGACAAATTGCTTCATGTTCCTTCATTCTCTTTTCATGCTGTCTATATTCCCATGCTTAGTGTCCCCCCCCCCCCCCCCCCCCGTGGGTTGTAGGGCTTGAACCCAGGGCCTGGGCTCTGTCCCTCAGATCTTCAAGGCTAGCGCTCTACCACTTGAGCTACAGTGCCACTTCCAGCTTTCTAGTGGTTTATTGGAGATAGGTTCAAAGACTTTCCTGCCTGGGCTGGCTTTGAACCACAACCCTCAGATGTCAGCCTCTTGGGTAGCTAAGATTACAGATGTGGGCCATGGGTGCCCACCTCTCTGAGCTCTTTTGCGCAAGGCTAGCACTCTACTACATTGAGCTACAGTTTCACTTCTGGTTTTCTGATGGTTAATTGGAGGTAAGAGTCTTTCATGAACTTTCCCACCTGGGCTGGCTTTGAACTGCAATCTTCAGATCTCAGTTTCCTGAGAAGCTAGAATTGAGTGTGAGTTACCAACACCAGCTCAATCAAGTGTTTTTTGTCGTTGTCTTTTTTTTTTTTTAAATTATTGTGGGGCTTGAACTCAGAGCCTAGGTGCTGTCCCTAAGTTGTTGTTTTGGCCATGGGGCCTGACCTCTGGGCCTGGGCACTGTCCCTCAGCTCTTCAGCTCAAGGCTAGTGCTCTACCACTTGAGCCACAGTGCCGCTTCTGGCTTTTTCTGCTTATGTGGTGCTGAGGAATCAAACCCAGGGCCTCATGCATGCAAGGCAAGTGCTCTACCACTGAGCCACCTTCCCAGACTCCGAGTTCTTTTGCTTAAGGCTAGCACTCTACCATTTTGAGCCGCAGCTCCACTTCCAGTTTTCTGGTGGTTAATTGGTGGTAAGAGTCTCACAGACTTTGCTGCCCAGGCTGGCTTTGAATCACAATCCTCAGAGCTCAGCCTCCTGAGTAGCTAAGATTACAGGTGTGAGCCGCGAGTGCCTGGTGAAAAGTTCAATAACATTCTTCTTAGACAACTTTTACAAATAAAGCTTAAAAATAAAAACAAAACAACAAATACCCAACACTTTAAAAAATGATTGTTTTTGTGTGGAATTCTCATAATTGTTTCAAACTCTGACCCCAGTGGATCTCCAACACACACACAGACATGCAGACACACCCCATCCACTACAGATAGAATCTGGAGAGTTGGCATGAAGGATTTGCAGGCTCTGCTTCCTCCCCACTGCTAATGTACCTGTCACTGCAGCCAGCTACTTCCTGCTTCTTCCTGACTGCAAAAGCCGCCTCGAGGCCTACATCAAGTTTTATCCACCTCACCAAAACCTTCCCAGGGCACCCTAGTGCCATTCTCCCCTGCTCCGAACCCCAATGTCAGGTGGCAATGAACCACACCTTTGTAAAAAATCGAATGCTTTTTTTTTTCTTTTAAAGACAGGGTCTCACTATATAGTACAGATTGGCTTCCGACTTGTGATGTTCCTGCCTCAGCCTTCCAAGCAGTGAGATTCTAGACATTCGCCAAGCAATAACAAAGTCTGTGAGTACCATTAAGTGGGGGCTGTGCGCTTTGTGAGAGACTGCCCCTGCCCGCCCCCAGACCCCAGTGCCCAGCACGGTGTGATGTAGACAACAGGTACGAAACACTGCTGACAGAGGGCAAGCCACCAATGAGGCAACAGGCACAAGCATAATATGTACATTTCTCTTTATTCAATACAACAAACACATAACACATACAAAAAGAAAAAAGCACTCATGTAAAAGGCCCTGTCACAAAGGACAGGAAACATCTACACTGAATCAAATAAGGCTCTTGCTTTAAAACGGGTTTACTAGCTACAGCTGGAATATGAGCAAGGCTGTTGCAAAGTAAAATGAAAGAAGAATCCCTGCACTGAAGGAATATACCCATGGGTTGCTTTACTAAACTTACAGATCCATTTTTAGGAATGTTTATGCTCTTACATATCCAAAATTTATCAGCGTTTTATGAAATGTGTGCGTTTTTTTGTTGTTAAAAAATTTACCTGCCCTTCTTTTTTTCTTAGAAAAGAGGAATAGGAGTGTTGTAAAAACTAGAGATCCACAAAGTCTGGAATGCCTCGTGGATACCGTGAAAGGGCACGTGCAACTGAGAGTGCACAGGCAGCTGGCGGCGCCCGGGAGAGCGGACGCTCGGGAGCGCGGACTCTGCCCCGCCCGCAGCCGCCACCCCAGGCCCACAGCGAAGCACAGTGCCCTCAGCGCAGGGTCAGCAGCAGCCGTCTGTCCATATTCCCGCTCCCTGCGGAGCCAGAAATTAAACAAGCACCAGATCATCTCAAAAGAGCCTTATACAAACACACACACATACACGCCCACACCCATTCACATGTCATCACCACCCCCTTTTATTTAAATTTATTTATTTTTTACTAAAATAATACAAAAAAGGGAGACAGGTATATTTACAAAAATCCATGGCTGGTACAGTACATAATTTTTAAGACACACTAAATGCTACAATCTTTCAGGTCCTGAGATTATTACAAATAGCGACTCAAAGCTTGTGTTCAGGTCCAGTTTTTAAAGGAGGAAAAATAAAATCCCCAAATATTAAGTCACATATTTATTTGAAATACAGTATATCCCTTCAAGTAAGCAGAAACACACTTCCCTGCGAGCAGGTGCGACCCAGGACCGTGGGCCTTCCACCCAGACGCCAGCAGCTCCTGCGGCGCCTTCCCTTGAGACTGGGCAACAGGGCGCCGTCTCTGTGAGTGTGGAGGACGCTGGAGGAGGAGGAAGCCCTGCAGGGTGGACACTTGCTGTATACATCGGTTGTTTTTCCTTCTGTGTTGGCTACCAAACAAAAGTCTTTCCCTTATCCAAACTCATACTGTACGGGTTGGAAATACGTGCTTACTCAGACTAAAAATCACTCATGATTTCCAATCAGTTATAGCAAATAGGTCTGCAGTTCCATAGTCATTTTTATAATCACAAATCTTGCTCATAATTAAAGAGAGAAAACACTGACTACTTAGCTACCTTGTTAGACTTTCATTCATTATTTTGGGTGAAAAATTTTCATAACACAATGGGCAGTTTCAGATTTGCCTCCCCTCTTTGATGGAAAATTTGGGGGTTTTGATACTCCTAAAATAAGGTAATTTTTCAAGACAGCAAAAGGTCAGCGTAGAGCTTGAATCTTTTGTCTGAAGGTTACCATGGACCAGAGGGTAGGAGTCCATTTCTACTGGTAGAGAGCCCCCTGGTCATCAGAAGGCATTTAATGAAAGTATAGATAATCCATTATGTAGATAGAACCAAGACTAGAAAAACAAAGCAAAACAGAAGCTGACCAATTTTCCTACTAGCTACATCAAACAGTAATGCCTTTGTCAACTGAAAAAAATTCCTTTGCTTTTTAATGTAGCTAGCCAAAATTGGGGGAACTCCTTGGTAACTTTCAAAGTTGGGAAACTCACTTTTCAGAGAGCACACTGCCTGGCCAACAGCAGAGAGAAGCCAAGGTAGCAAGTTTGTGGCTGGGAGGATGGACAACACAAGATGGCCAAGGCGTGAGGCCTTACACACAGTCTGTGCCACAGGCCACGGCGCAGCTCCTGGCCCAGGAGCTGTGCACTCCTCAACGTGCTGAGGACAGGCAGAGCTTGCGGACTTGAAGCACAGACGTGTTCCAAGCTATCTTGGGCAACAGTCATTCCATTTGTATTTCAGTTAGATTTACATTAGTAGTAGATTATCAAATATCGAAAAGCCATTCTTGGGATAATATGGAATATTACTCATAGCAACAATGGAGCAAATAATGTAGAAGGGGAGATAGGCTGGTATTAAGAAGTCAATGGTCTACTGGACTCAGATCTTTCCAAGTGTGTTTGTCCTGGCTTAAGTATGAAAACAAGAGGGCAGACTATTAGGACACGTAAGCGCCCCTAACCAAGGTCTGTATCCCTTCCAGATAACCTTGTTAAATATCAGGAGAAAGCCAGGAACTACATTGCTACTACATTGCTACACGTAGTAATTAGAAATGATTTTATTTATTGACTTATTTGTTGCAGGGCTGGGTATGGAACTTGGGGCTTTCTACAAGAGAGGCAAATGTTCTACCACTGAACTACAACCCTCAGCCCACGCAATCTATTCTTTAATACCAAGGAAAGAGAGGAAAGACTTCTGGTCACCAGTGACTACTTCTAATAATTATACTTCCTAGACCAACAGACCCTGAATGATACTGCTGAGATTTCAGAAAGCAAACATTCTTCACCTGTCTGGGTAACAATTTGAAGAAATGTCCAATCTTTATTAATTCATTATGAGCCAGGCGCTGGTGGTTCACACATGTAATCCTAGCTACTCAGGAGGCTAAGATCTGAGAATTGCAGTTTGAAGCCAGCCTGTACAGGAAAAGTCTGAGACTTTCCAATAAACTACTCAGAAAAAGCCCGAAGTGGTGCTGTGGCTCAAGTGGTAGAGTGCTAGCCTTGAGCAAAAAGAGGCTCAGGGACAGTGCCCAGGCCCTGAGTTTAAGCCCCAGGACTGGCAAAAAAAAAAAAAAAAAGAACAATTCATTATGAAATGGAAAGACAGAGAAGTTGAACTATTACAATATGAGATGAAATAAAGATCACAAATAGCTACTTTGAAGCAAATGGTACTTTGAAGTTATAGGAGGAAAATGTAACTGAGTATTAAGTTATTCGAAGGCATTAACTGCCTGTGTCTTTAGAGGTGCTGGGATGTCCACAGCCCCGACACCATAGGCTTCACCTCTGACTGCGATGGACAAGGACACAGGATCGAGGCCCAAGTAAGTGAGCCAGTGAGACAGTTTAACTTGTTTCCCTGGAGTCCTAACATACAACTTAGACTGCAGGGGAGCGCCCGGTTAATGACAGAGTTAGGTGTGAAGCCACAAGAGGGATGATGAAGAATTCGACATCAATATGGAAAGCTATTTTAAATAGGAATCTGACCACTTGTTCAATTCTAGATACATGGACACTGTCATTGAACTGAAAACTTCTAAAACTCTGGGATGATTTCATCTGAACCATTCTACTAACACTAAGTACTGTTCCACATCAGTGAAAGGATCTCTAGTTGGCATCTGAATACCAAGTTCACATTTTAGGTTAGACAAACACAAAAACCAGTGTATGCTTCTACTACTCTACCCCAGAGGGACAAACACATATTCAACAAAACTGTTCTGTCCTATTTCGTTGGGCAGAAATCTAGACATTTTGTTATTTTAAAGATGGGTAAATGTGGAAAATAACAAGAGTATGTTTACTGCATAGTTAATATTTAGAGGCAACTAACTAAGGCCTTATCCAGAAAAAGCAACTTAAATAAAAAGATTAAAAAAATCCAAAACATCCTATTAGTGGAGATGAATTGGGTCTCAGCCTATTGTGGAGTTAACTCAGATGCCTTAACTGTTTGGGCCTGGTGCTTTCTAACTCACGTAAGATAAAAAAAAAAAAATCAATAAATAAAATCCATGTTTACCCCCTGCATTCTCTTTCATGACTGAATGTCATCTGATCTCACGCGCTCTCAGTACCTCTCTCTCTGTCCTTGTCTCTCTTCCCATCCCCCAACACCTAGCCCTAACTAAAAATGTACCCATTTTTCCTGTTATTGTTTTAATTGACACAAGACACACGTGTTACTGTTGAGTATTCAGGGATGGAAAGCACAATGAAATGGCCATTTCCTCCTGAGAATCAGGGAAATCACGTCTCCTTCTACCTCACCACCTCACCCCAACCCTGCCCCACAGAGGAAGTGCTTTCCCTCTGTTTTCCTACAACCGGACTGACTGATGGCTCCACCTTTCCCATGGGCCAAAGAAGCTTGAAAGGCAAAGCTAGTACTGTACTCAGCTGGCAGAGGCACACAGCACCTGGCCCAGCCCTTCAGCACAGAGCTGGATAAGCGCAGTTACAAGAATAACATGCGGGATCTGGTTTACAGGAATGAGACCTTTCGTTCTTAGAGAGTTACAACCTTAGCTATCCTTCACCAAACAAGCAACATAAGGAAACTGAATTGAGAAGAGGGAAGAGAGAGACGGATAAAACTTTCAGGATCATTCCTCAAGTCCAATAACCAATCATCCAAACTTTGTTAGCTGTATAACCTTCACAAGCATCACAGAAGTAATATCACCAGAAAAAGCCAAGGAACTCAGTGTCATTCCCCCTTGCTTTGTTAATCTGGAGCTAGCTATCTTATCCCACTGCAAATATTGTATGTTTAAATAAATATGCATCTGATTTAAAATTCCAGTGACATTTTTTAACACTTAAAAACTGTAGGGTGGTCGGGCGCTGGTGGCTCACACCTGCAATCCTAGCTACTAAGGAGGCTGAGATCTGAGGATCACAGTTCAAAAGCCAGCCCGGACAGAGAAGTCCATGAAACTCTTATCTCCAATAAACCACTAGAAAACTGGAAGTGGCGCTGTGGCTCACGTGGTAGAGTGCTCACCTTGGGCTGAAGAACTGAGGGACAGCGCCCAGGCCCAGAGTTCAAGCCCCACGACCAACAAAAAAAAAAACAAAAACAAAAAACAAACCTGTAGGGTGATCTTTATATTCACTACAAGGAAAACATTTTCTAGCCTCTGTGGGAAGAGGATAATACTATTTTTAGTTATATAGGACATTTTCGAAAAAGTCAAAATATTTTTGAAAGTTTCTGAGATCCGTGGGAGGTAGGTGAATACTAGTTTACCCAATTGTCTCATGGGTATTGTGAGGCACGAAGGTTAAATGATACTCCCCCTAGACACAGGAAATTCAGAAATTAACACTTACTACTCAACACCAACTGCCTGACACATTTAACTACTGGAGCCTCTGCTTTCTCCCTTAGCGACCAGTCTGCTCAACTAAACTTTTATTTAAAAGGGGCACTTAATAGGTAGATATATGTGAATTATTTTTGAGGACTAGATCAACTTAGTCTTCCTTACCTCTCACTTCTGTTTATCACACACACAAAGAAAAAAACCAGATGAATCTTAGACACTAAAAGCTATGTTTTTTTTTTTTGTAAAAGGGAGAAACCTACATAATCATTAAAATTAGACAGAGCCAAATGTAATTATCTGGCAAATAAAAGGAAGAATGAATCTCTCAAGTACATTACAGATTATATATGAGTGTTTTCCTTACAATTGGAAGCCTTTCTACTTCTAAGTTTATTTGTATTTGAACAGATACACAGCTAGGTTTTCTTCAAAAAACCATTTTGAGAAGA